CCGGGAATTCAATGTCACATTTTTGCACTGAACGAAAAAAAATTGATGAAACGTTTGCATCAGTTTTGTTATTTTTTGGCCCAGATCAGTGTTCTGCACACGTCTAGTAGGTCATTAAATGATGCAGATACCTTCATTTGAAAGAGGTTACTAATATTCAACCATTAAATACCGTTTTTCTTCGCGTATTTCAAAGCAATTTGCTATTGATTTTGATCGCTCAGAAAGTTTGATTAGGAGCAATCTCCGTGAGGTTCAATTCTTTGGTTCAGTTTTTTGCGCATGCGCAACAAATTCAGCAATTTGATTAGTCAAAATTATCAAGACGCATGCGCGATTAATAATCACGGCCAATCATAGGACTCGTACCGATTACCGCTCGGAAATCAACTACTAGTGATTGTCCTATCACATACCTCATACTATATTGATCGGAAATCAACTTCCGGGAAAGAAAGAAATAGAATATCCTTCGTTTATTTAGCGGATTTTGACCAAATAAAAGACTGAAGGTAAGATCTTTATCAATCCATTCATCCAGAGATGATTTTTTGATATGACCTGCACTGCGTCCAAGTGACTCCTCATTTTCATTGTTTGGGGTCCCTATAATAAAAACCGGGTCCTCTCCATTATGGGACGGCGTTAATGAAAGCACAGCTATATATAAAGATGTTAGGGTCTAATTGCTATGATTATCCTTTATATATAAAATGAAATATTATAATGAGTTGATATTTGCATTTTTGATATTTGTCAATATCTGAAATGCTGCTTGTTGGTTTTAATCAATTTATAAATAAATGTATTTTGATTAATCAATTTATAAATAAATGTACTTTGATTGATTAAGGAATATATTTAGCTTTTTAAACAAATTAACCACCATGTTTAATAGAGCATGCACCATTCTGGTAAAAGATAACAATTATTTTGCCCTTTACCTTAACAAGCTGTTAGGTCTCATTGGACAATAAATATCAAGTAGAGATCGAGGCATCTAAGAGAGCACTTCTTATTTGAAGAGTTATACTTCCATATAGGATGTTATGAAAATCAGAATTAGAAGAATTAGAATCTTGTTCTTGTTCTCGCCAAGGTTCTCAGAAATACTATACAAATATTGAATTCTGTGGAGTTGAATATCTGTATTTATTATATCATTGAAATGTTTCTCGCTTTCTCATTGGATAAGAACCGATCACATGATTAAAAATATTAGGGTGTATTTCATTGTTTCCTGCAATCTCCAGCTGCAGCCTCGTTTTCAACTGTATATACCACGGTGTATATACCACGGAGTATATACCATGGTAGAAAGTCCCGGATGTTATGCCTTTGTTATGACGTCACAACAATAACTTGGATACGCAGGCAACAAAACTTCATTGTTATGACGTCAAAGCTTATGTTTGTAGTATGAGCAATGAGCATTGGTACTCATAGCAATTCTGTATCCGTTGCCACTTTGTTGATGTTTATAAACCAGTGATGTCACAAGACGTCTTGCACGTGCAACTTTTAAGGATGAAAGAAGGCAATATTTTGCATCGGACTAAGTGGCTGTACATGTATCTTGGTTATTCTGATGAGCACATGTATTGTAGCCTATTTATGTGTTTAAATAGTTCTAGAAAATACACCTAATTTGTAGAAAATTAAAATGATATAATAAATCAAATATTCCATTCTATTTTCGGTAAATACATGTTCATCTTTCCCTCAGGTATATTCCCCTTGCCCTTCGGGCTGCGGGAAATATACTGAGGGAAAGATGAACATGTATTCACCTCAATAGAATGTAATATTTGGTATATATTTCTGAAGGTGTATTCACAGCAGCCCGAAGGGTGAGGTGAATACATCCCTAAGAAATATATATATACATCCCGCGTTTGTTACAGTATTGAACCTTTTCTTGGGAGGACTTCCTGATACAACTTCACCGTCTGTCATATCGGATGTCATTTCGTGAATTATAACAGAATATTGGGAAACGTTTGGAAACCCTAAAACGAAACCCTAAAACTGTCATATCATAACAATATTGTGTACTTCTAACTTTAATATTGTGTTCTACTAATGTGGAAATAGTTTCTGAGTGATGTATTCACCTCGCCCTTCGGGCTGCGGCTAATACGTCCTTCAGAAATATATACAGATATTCAACTCCACAGAATTCAATATTTGTATAATGATTCATGACATTCAGGAATTAAAACATGCAAGAGTCAACTGTTATAATTAATCTTTTCCAAATACAATTATATGTTTCCAGAAATTTGTTTTTAGTGAAGAATGGATTAATAATTGGAAATCAGAGCTTGCTAATCAGGTGTGTGAAATAAATAGCCTTACTGGAAATTCTACTTCAAAAAGAATTTGTTCCTAACAATGTTTTATATTCCTTCCTTCCCCTGGGAATCGTAATGATAGCAGTATTTCTTTTAAACAATACTTCACCCTAATTGATTACATTTTTTGTTTTCAGTATCAATAAGGTCTTTTCAGTCAAACTTTATGGATATTTGTCGATGGAAGGATATATTCAGAAATGATTTCTATAGATTGCAGGGTTTTAGATCTCGTCTCTTGTTAATTGTTAAGGGAAAGACTTTGTATGAGATTGCAGTGACAAATGCTTCTTGCATATTCCCTTGCTCCTCTGAATATTGCCAGTGACACTATCTCCTGTATCAATTTCTCATTTTGGCTTCTTCATATCTTATTATTTCCATCGGCATTTCCATGATGGGACAACTCAACAGGATTAACTCTCTACAACTGCCTCATGCATTTTGATGTTTGGAAATGGAAATGCAATGAAGGGTATGCATGGACCTCATGTTGTTCAACAAAAATCTATATTATAGGTCTTGTTCCTTTATTTAGTAAAATGTTTTTGTCGTCAGAAACTGCCAATTAATGTAGTATGATGGTTGAAACAGGTCTGAGACCAAAACCATGGATTTCAATTTCTGTACTTAAAGTTTAGGATTTTTTATGTTGTTTGATTTCCTGATTTTTAGAATTCCAAAAATCACTAATCTAAAATGAAAATTTCTAATCTGGAAAGTACATTGAACATTCATTGAACAGCCTACTATGTACTAGATAGATATCACATATTTCATGATCACTGATCCTCCCTGATCTAACATAAGCCAAATTTCGCCTCAATAAATTCTAACAAATTGACTAAATTAGTACAGGATTGAATTATACCTTCACACAAATCAAGATTACCCGCAGCTATAGATCATCCAAACTTACAAACTGTCACTATCAATCTTTGTTATTTTTTATGACGTTGGTTGTTTCATTCTCCATGGAAGGTTTTTAGTCCTTGAATCAGGGAGAAATCATCTAATCATCTAATCAGACTGGCATCTGCGAGGGAAAATGTTTGTACATTTGGATCTTGAATGGAGACTATTTGTATGATAGTCGGTGTGTTTCATCTTCATTGACAGTCCAATCTTTGTGTTTATTGTAGGTATAAGTTGGTATTCCAAGTTCCAACATGAGTACTAGTACAGTAAAACCTGTGTATATTGAACATTTTTGCTGAGAAAAAACATTTAGTGTTGGTAGGTGTTCAGTTCACTACAGAGAGAGTAATTATACAGAAGTCAATAGAGTATGTGTGGAGGAAGGGTGTCTAGTAGAGAGAGATGTTCACTAAGACAGGTTTTACAAAATATGAAAATCAAATCAATATATTTCTATTTATGAGATTCATTGTATTTGCATTATCTAATTATTTGATAAAAACTGACAAACATGTAAATGCAAGTTCATTTGAATATTCACTCTGCAATAACAAAACATTACAAAACATTCTGATTCTATATGTGTCATAGGCAGTAAGTACTCAATTCCTCTTTATAAGCTTGTTTTGCAGCATGTTCTACTTGTAATTCTCTTATATTGTCATTAGCACAAGGTCTGTTTGGATGGGCAGACTCAGTATATTGGTTGATGCCACCCATGTTTTTGTAGGTGATCTAGAAATACTAAGACAGGTTATTGGCACTTATAGTGAGAGATACTCATGAAACTATCTTAGCAATAACAAATAAACCAAACATAAAATTCTTGGTTTATATCACCTTACCAAGGCAGTAAGATTGCTCCTTCCTATAGTTTGAAGAGCACTCCATCTATGTAGTACTGTGCTTCATGCCTCAGGGTATAGTCACAGGTACACAAAGTGCTATAGTTGTCATTTAGGCAAATATGAAAAATGATGCTGTAATCAGTATCAACTGAAGCAAGCATAATTTAGTTTCCTTTCCATACTTAAAATGATCAAGAAACTATATTTATTGTGACTATTGATACAGCTCATTGAACCAGATTTGCTTGAACCAGTTGTTCTTGTCTCTAAAGCTCCTGGGATGTCGTAGATGCCTATTATGTCATAGTAACAATGACATGGTGACCTTTTTTGTTGACGGTGTTTGGCAGTTTGTGTTTGGTGGTTGGCATTTGGCAGATGGTGTTTGTAACAAATGACAGGTCGTGACATTTTGTAATGCTTTGCAGAAATTAAAAATGGATTTATTGCCAACGAGACAATTTGTGAAGTATTCTACGAATAAAGTATAAAATAATGTTGATGTAGTATTTAATCTCTTGGAACTTATTGATCATCCTCATAATTCTTGCTTTTCACAATTTCTTTGCTTAATGTAACTTGAAATACTTTCTTAGCCATGTGTTGCCTTAAACCAAAATGACCCTGTCTGCAAGCTGAAAGCATTTACTTGTTTTGATTCTGGTAGAGATGTACATTCAGATGAATAAACCATGTTCAGATGTAGCAGGTGTTATAAACAAGACTGAAGTTCTCTTTCTAATTTAGAGAATTGATTTCTTTAAATTCACTAATTTCCAATTTTTCAAGAAATGTTTCAAAAATAAAAGTTCGTAAATTAGTTTCAAATTTAATTTATTCTGTTGAGAAATTGATACATGTTTTCTTGGTCTGCTTCCAGGTGACCCCAACAGAACATGTGATTGACCAGGGAGATGATGGCGACAATTTCTATGTTATAGACAGGTAAATCACTATGTTTCCTCAATCCTGAATCAAACCTCTGGTATTCCCCTTCTTTTGTACTCCATAGACCCAACATTTCAAGAACATAAGCAAAATAATAAAAACTTATTTACTCTATCAGCATCAATCATCATTATTACACTCAAATATCCCAAACACTTTGATCACTAAAGCAAGCCACTCAAGTTCAAGAAAATGGAAATGATGATTGTACAATAACCATTCCAAAATGTGGTGTTTACGAAAAGAACAGTTTGAAATAACATGAGTGATATTTGATAAAAAAAAGAATTAAGGTAGTGAATGGAACACTTGATTGTTTATTAACACCAGCAGGTGTAAAATAACAAATAATCTTCTATATAGGCTAACACCAGATTGTGAAGCAATATTATAAAATGGGCTTAGAGGTCAACCATCCTTGGCATTCTCCCATATTCCATACCATTTTGATAAAACTCTTGAAATCTAAAATGGGCATCTACCATCTACCCAGTTTTTGGTTTTAGAGTAAATTGCTTGTATTCTTGGGTCTAATGACTTTAATAGGGCCAAGCTGTTTCCTAAGCTGCAATTGCATGGAGCCATGCTTTTGCATTTCATTAAAACAGTTTCCCTTAATTCCTGTTTCTTGCATGCGGCTTAGTGATTTATGTGGAGTCCCTGTAAATTGTAGCCAATCCTACTGATTCTTGCATGCAGCTTAGTGATTTATGTGGAGTCCCTGTAAATTGTAGCCAATCCTACTGAATGAAGTTTGTTCAGGGAACTAGAGAAGCTATTCATCCATTCATTCATCCTTTCCACTGAACAGCTTTCTGAAAGTCTGTTTGTTCAGATGGAAACTCAAAAAACAGTTGTCAGATTTAGCCTAAATGTTAAAGGCTAATGCCTCTTGAGCTGATCAGCTCAAGAAAGGGTTTTTGACATGTTCAAAATGACCATCATATTTATATTTAATTTCAAATATTGAGCAGACTTATGGCAGTGTTTTGACATATTTTGTTTGATTTACCAGAGTACTCCTTATCCAAGAGAGAGTTTTTACATCAGTCGCGTATATCTCATAAAGGTAGTTGAATCGAATATTTGCTCACTAGCTCCAATGTAGCTTCAGGTTCTGAATAAATTGACATAGTTGCCATCTTTCCTGTTACATCTAACAGTCATCTGATTAACCATTAATAAGGAACAGACAAATGAAAACCAATAATATAATCATTACTGATAAGCCAAATGGGTTGCTCATGAACACCAAATGCAAGGTATAGTAGATTTTATACATTTCATATAATTTTAAGCATGCAGGTTTGGTATGACACTATCGTCTTTTGGACAGTATTTTGCAGCTGGCATTTGGCATCCAGAGTTCTGCATCTGTAAGACATGGCTGGTGATGACATTTTGCATGTTAATCCCTTGTCGTACTTTGAAAAAGTGTTGGAGAGAGAAATAGTGGTATCTAGTGCCAGACTGCCAAAACTAGGATTTTTAGTTATTTTGAACTGTACTCGCCATTCAAAGATCAATATGTTATTTTTTAGGTAAAAGCTAGATAACATATGTCTAAATCATGCTAAGTAATATATGTGTAACTTAAAACACGCTAAATAATGTATGCTTTCACAGTTAATTGGATGAATTGTCTTGGGACTTTCTCCTCTTATGGCGAATGCTAGTGAAAGTGGTTGATAAACCAAACAAGCTGGAATTTCAATTCATTCTTTTTTCTTTGTAATTGCATAGCTATAAAATAACCATAGGAAACAGTAATTGCTGGAAACGATACACAGTCTCCTGATAAAATATAAAAGACAATGTGAGCAATCTGTTCATTCAAGCGGAGTCTCATACACCTTTTCAATAGTTTGATATCTCTTCTTTATGAGAGCCTTATCTACACAGGGCTTTATAATTACTACTTAGCCTCTGTGCTTTAGGGTGCTGTACTAAGAATGTTACGACAAGAATAATCTTCTCAGTGTCTACAGGTGTTTGCTGACAAACAGAATTAGTATGTTATAGACAATATTTTTTATGAATTCTCTTTGTTAATCAAGCTCATCAGATCCTGGATTCCATTTGCCTGGAAATGAAGATCTAACTGTCAAAGAAATAGATGGCCAAATTGAATCAAGATGGATGGTGTGTCAAAACTAATTCAGATGAATCCAATTTTAATGTTAGATTGTTGGTATGAGTCAAAATTGACTTTTTCATAATTACTATTTTCTGGATATTTTGAATTTGATATTCAGTAGATCAATATTATTGTTTATAAATGTTCTAATAAACCTACATATTAATTAAAATTCATATTCAAAATTATCTATTTGATTCAACCAAAGACAAAATTCTGATTTGGTAATTCAACATTATGCAGAAACTACAGAATTTCTGAAATGTACATGTGTTTATTTGTTTACTAGTTTAACAAAAATTTGGTGCAATATATCTACATGTACTTTATTTTTCAAATAAGTGATGATAAATATTCAAAGATATACTCGTATATGTAAATAATATAAAAATATAAAAAAATTGTATTTTGACTCTTTATTTTCAATTGTCTTATCAGCATCCTAAATTCCACAAATCATAATTCAAAATATTTTAGAGAAATGGCTACCAGGATCCCTTGTTGAAGAATTGTCTTTTTGTTATGCAAATATAAAGTTTTTTTTTGTATGAGTAATGAGATAATATCAGGTTAGCTCTTAGATTTTTAAAAGGATAAAAAATAAAAATGCCTGTCTATGTAGATGCTTGATTCAACAAAAGCCTTGTCAAATGTAAAATTTTAGAGAAAAGAACAAATATTGTAATATCATATGATTCAGAGCATGAAAAGATGGTGGAGAAAACTTTTATTTCATCGGGGAAGAAACTTTTAAGTGAGTTAAGTAGAATGCTTTTATATCAAACCCTTGGGTGCTATATTGTGATCAATTTGCTGTAAGTCATGGTGTGAATGGAAATTTATAAATTGTTAAGTATGAAAGGGCAATTTCTCAATAAACACTACATGTAATTTATAAATATTAGACAGTTAAAGAAGCCCTCTGTGACTAAATGTATGATAAGTAAATAAATCTAATAGCTCATCAGAGTTACATAATCAAAGGCCACCCTTTAACAAGATAATTATTTAAAATTGTTTTTTGATGATCAAGTGATGAGTCTAAGATATTCAATTATTGAAATAAATGGTTGTGCATCTGTGCAAAATGATATTGCAGCAATGTCATTTGTAAAGCAATTTGAGGCAACTAACTTCCTATATTGAATGATATACAATGTACAGTAGCCACCTCTTTTGAAACCAGAATACTGATAAAGTAGATACTGAACATTTAAAAAAGTGCTTTATTGTTGTCATCTTGTTTTAATCATTAAATCGTTTAATTTATGAACATTAAAGTAGACTTAACATATATACAGTTGTATTCTTTATTTCCAGTGGTATGTATGACATTTTTGTTGAGATCGACAACAAACCTAAATGTGTTGGGTCTTACGACAATCAGGGCAGTTTTGGGGAGCTAGCTCTTATGTACAACATGCCTCGTGCTGCCACTATAGTAGCAACAACTGAGGGCAATCTCTGGGCCATGGTATGTATACTTTTACTTAGGAGGTCTAAGGGGTGCTTGTGATCTAAGATTTGAATGGCCTATAGGGCCCAATGCAGAAGTCACACTTGAACACTTGAATATCTTATATATTGTCAAAACAGGCTGACACACATGTTTCATTGTCACTTACAATTTGAAATTTTTCTTCCCATTCAAAAATAGTAAAATTCAAACCCTCCTGATTCCAAAAGGATTTTAGTTTGATTTTTTTTCATATACCGTATTATCTCTAATAAACGCACCCACTCCAATAAACGCACACCCGACTTTTCCAAGAAAGACTGGCAACTTAAAAAACAAAAATCAAGAAAAAATATAATTTATTCGAGCGGGCGATAATAGGGTAATATTGAATTATTCACTTACCGCTATCGATAGAGCCGTTTGTGAGTATAATGCTGTTACAGACGTGTCTAAGGAACCTTATGAGCTATAACTACGTTCATGATAACCTTATAGTGATGAGTTAAAAGCTACAATGAACGTTAATTCGGGCCCGTCGGAGTTACTCAAACTCGCAGTGCATCATGGGAGTTCCGATCTATAAATATTCTTCTGCCCTTATGTTTATCATCAATATTGAATGATGCGTATTATAATGCCAATTAACCCACGGAAACACATTCAGCAGATTGATAAATGCATGAGGAAAACATTGAGGTATGATAATATGTTATCTAGTTGGAGTGAGTCTAGTTTTAAAGAGGAAAATCATGAAACACCCTATTATCGCCCAATTTTTTCACAAATCCCCGGGGATTTTGTCATTTGAGACATCTCCTCCAGGAGAATTTGGGAGACGCACTGTGCGTTTATTGGAGAGAATACGGTATGTAAAAGCTCTAGCTTAATATGTGGTTATTAGTTGCCAAAGAGACATTGGAATATAAAAGACAAAGCTTTTTGTAAGATTGTTCTCTTTCTGATACTACCTTTTAAGTATCATCTAAGTGTTAATTCAATCCCTGAGTGATCAGTGTTTGATTGCAATGAATGGTTTAAACACTACTTTATTCCTTCTTGGAAATCTCTCAATTAATCCCCCTGGCACACCAGAGGTACATATTACCTGACTTTATATCATTCCTTGAGAAGGTGTAGATGTTCATCTTATTGATTTTTGGATGTTTAAACCTTTTATACAAGGTTTGATAAACACTCATTCGATTTCTGCAAACCAAAAGGTCTAATTTTGCAAGTAGTCTTGCATAAAGTCTCTAGACCCCCCCCCCCCCCCCCCCGTCATCTAGATTCCCCTATTTACTTCTCTTTGAAGAAGTGGTGTAGAGAGCGATTGAATGAGGACAAATGTGGTTTGATATAATTTTTGAAATATTATATTCAATTGTCTTATCTTAGTTGTCATACTTATTTCAAGGAAGAGAATTATAACTCAAGTACCATAATCTAAAATCTTTTCTTGAATTGATTTTGCGAAGTGCAAATACAGAAAATGGACATGAATATAAATGTTTGACAAAATGCCATGTCTCCATAAATCTTTAAACAGGTTACTGATTCAGGTAGTTAGTCCATTACAAGGATAGGATACATTCAGGAAACCATAAATTCAACAAATAATCACACAGAAGTTATTGATTCCTCTAAGCTCACATTTATTTAATGGGATTCTAACTTCATGAATTCCCCATTGTTGTTGTTCCCCATAGTAAGGTGAAGAAACAATGTCAACTCTGGTCTTCTAATTTCAAATGTTAACCTACTTTGATATGAAGATCATTCTTTCAATCCAATATGTTTATGCATTTCAATTTCTGTAAGTGAAACAGTCCATTATTATCTGTGATTAACATGTTTTAGTATATCCCTGGTCTAGTCTGGGCTTTGAGAGCCCATGGTCTAATATATAAGGACCTACAAATCACTCATTTTATTAATATGATATATGATGATGATGATAATAATATATGTTGGGGTCTGCAATCTTCATCAATTTACTGGAAAATTTCAAGAAAACTGTTATACTAATCAATGTTTTAGTGGCCAATGCCGCCATGTACACTCCTGTGCTTCATCTTGCATGAAGCATGACGTTTTTATGCCACCACCAGAAGTTGTTATAGTCGCCAACTTTTTTAGGATAGCATTTAGCAGTCGACATTTGGTGATTGTCTGTAACAAGTGGCAGTTGGTGATATTTTGCATGTTAATGCCTTGTTTCCTTTTAGAGTAGGCAAAATTGCAAACCCCTCTTTGTTTTTCTCATATGTCTTGATATAAACTAATCTAATTTCAGGATCGTTCAACATTTAGAAGAATTGTACTGAAGAATGCATATAACAAACGAAAGATGTATGAAAACCTACTAGAAAATGTGCCAATGCTCAATAGTATTAATGTAAGTATAATGTACAATTTCGCTGTTCACTTCGCTTCCGTGTAAAAGTGTCAGGGTATACCAAATTTGGCCTCATTTTGGTCGCTGGTTTATCAATTTTTTAAAACCTCACTTAGCTTGAATTTTGGCATGATGAATATTATATTTTCAAATAATGGGAAATATTAAAATATTTTGCTCTGAATAAAAAGTCTGGTAGTTAGTGCCATCAAACTCAGCAGACATATCAATTCATGATTAATTCAAAAATTGCAGAATTTTGCATTTCGTAGCGCAGAATTCGAGTAGCCCTGAATTGCATGAATCTGTTGATAGTTGTTGTAAATCGATGTTCCCACAAATTATGACAGCCATGTTATATGAAGGAAACAGAGATGTACACATACATCATAATGACATACATGTATACACATTTATTGAACTTGTTCCCTACATAACAATTTGTATTCATTTCACTTCTAATTGTCAATTAGTGTCAACACTTGTAGATATTTACAGATGACAATTAATATATCTGTCTCACACAGTGGAATGAAGTATCAATCAGCATTCATCATGCAATTCATTAGATGCACCTGCTTTGTGTGATTTGTCTCATTTTGCCAGGAACTTGTGTAACAGCTTAATAGATTTCATACTTAATTAAAGATATGTTATCCAATTCATCCTTGACTAAGCATTAGCAATTTAGCATTTTATTTCAGAAAAGTGAAATCTAATGGTTTATCTAATTAGTTAATGTTTTTATCTCTTGCATAATAATACCTTCACTAAATATGATTATAAATCTTTGGTGAATATTTACAAAATTTTACAAAATGATCAGCTCATATTCATTCATCCATGATCCAAACTCTCTTTTTATATATCGTATAATTGCTTCATTTTTCAGAGTTACGAAAGAATGAACATAGCAGATGCCTTATTCCCCAAGACCTTCAAAGATGGTGAACAGGTTATTAAGCAGGTAAATTGTCATTTTCTAGATGCACAGTCTACTGTCCCTGTAGTAATATAAATCCAATTCACACTTTACAGTTTTAATGGAAATAAGATCTTCATCATCTTAAATGCTTGTTTCATGTTTTTATGGGAGTTTGAATGAGCAGTGAAAGGTAAGTTGCAAAGAGTGAGAGCTGAACCTTTGCAAATGGTATCAATTCCCACATATATTTCAAGTTTTCATGTGATTTAACCACTATATCGAGTTTTTTAACCTCTTGACTACCTGGAGTGACGTGATTTCTCATCACCTCAGAAATGACCTTGAAGCCCAGAGTGACGAGAAAATCTGTCACAATTTTTTTCACTAAAATTACTCATATTTGAACAATTTTCATGCAATTTACAAAAAAATTGTTATAAAATGTGTAGAAATGACCTCTGCCGTCTAATTTTATTAAGTTGAGCATCTGAAGTTGTATAAGTATGTAGTATAATGTCAAAATGTGGCAAAAATGAAAAAATTTCTGGTTTCAACGGATTTTAGAGCCTGGGATTCAAGAAGTTAATCAATTTGCAGATTATATATGATATAATAGTTCCATGGCATTTTTTCATTTTCTTTTGTCATAAAAATCGAAATAGTCTAGGAGCTAGATTTCCAGAACAAATAGTCTGCAATGAAATATATCATTTAAACCTCTACAATTGACATGTCATATCTGTAAATTTTTTTACTTGAACTGTTTTTTTGCTTTATTTAATTTTTGAACATATCTAGTATTCTCTATAACCTAAGATTGTCAGTTTATTGCAACTCCCAATTCCGAAGTGATCAATAATTCCAAGCATTAGGATTAAATAATGTCAATTTTATGCTGTGTATATATCTCTTGTTACACCATCAATTACACGGGAGCCTGACTTTTTCTAGACAGTTTATTGATGACCTCTGTTCTTGGGTAACCCTTTAAACCTTGCCATTATCATTCACTCATATTTTGACAAATCTGACTAATTTCTCAGGAAAAATAATTATTCAGAAATGTATAAATAATCCTTATGTGGCCATAGTTAGTAGTTCTAAGATTGAGAAGTAATGAAAAGGACCATCAAATACAGAAATTGATTAATAAAAAACTCAGACTTGAACTGGCTATTAGTTTGAGGAAGATGTGATATTCTTTCAATTTACTGCTTGAATGACTTTTAGATTGTGAGTTGTTCTACTTTATAACTAGTCGGCTGATCAATTGACAAATTCCTCTGACATTAACTTCCTAAAATCAACCTCACATCTATAGATTAACAACTAGAATGTCTATAAAGGTATCTACTCCACTGACTTTTTTCAAAACATTTTAAGCTATTAATGGCATTTTGTGATGTTTCATCTCAAACTCAAAACTGAAGAATGATACAGAGAAGATGGTATATGAAATGTTCAAACTTGTTCTAAAATGATAAATTGATATAATGATTATCATGATATCCACTGTTTTTTTAACTGGCATTTAGTGTTTTTATCATTTGCCACTCTGTGTCTGTAACAAATATATTACCAAGTATTTTGTTAAGTTAATGCCTTGCATAATCTACATGTGTCACATGATCAGAGATCAGGACTAAAAAGTAGGTCAAATTGAGGAATATAGATGTTTGATTGATGTTAAAAGTATGCTAGCTCCTTTCTAGGAGTTTGACAATTACATTCTGGTATTCATTATTCTGATATCTATATATTCTATAGTTGCTGAAATTATTTGAAAATGTCTTTGTTTGTTCAATGAATCATTGTACTTAGCTAGATCAACAGAAAGATTAATATTAAGCCAGTATCCATCACTATTAATCTAATGCTGCAAATCGATGAAACAACCCTAGAAAAAATATTATTTTGGTTATCCTTTAAGATGAACCATTTATATACTAAAGTTACCAATTTTTCAAGGACGTAAGGCTGTTGTAGTTTATACTCTTAATTATGTATTAGTGCAAGAAAGCTTTTATTCAAAATGCTATTTCAAGTACAGGAAGTTGTCTGGTTTTGTAAATCAGGCAGGGGAATATTTTCTATTGTATTTGTGCACAAAGGATCTCTATTGTCCAACCCTAGGGTCACATACACTACATCTACTTCAGATTGCTATCTTAGATAAGGCACTATTAACTGTTATTGATTTTTTCTGATAAAACTAGGAAATTAGCCAAAGTCAACAGTGTACTCCTAGTTCACACATGTAATCTCAGATTGATGAATTATTCCATCAAACATAGGTTCAGATATTACAGGATTTTAAATTGATTCTTACAAAGAGGGTAAAAGTACTGTGCAACCTAAGACTCCATGTCAGGAACATGTGCTGTAAAACTTATATATCCAAACACCTGGCTAATCCAACACCTTCAAATCTAAACACTTTCTGGTCCCGTTTTTTCCCATTGACTTGCAAAACTTTGAAATGTGAACACCTCTTAATTTGAACAGTGAACAGTCATATTTGAAAAATGAACCTGTCTGATATGAACACCTTTCATAAAATATCACATGTTTCATACAAAATTGCTTGAATAAATACACAAATATTTCATTTTATTGAGGTGAATACCTGTGCATCTTTTACAAGCAATATCCTGGATTTTTTTGAAAATATTATTTTTTCGAAAAGTCTAATTATTTCACTTTCTCAATTCAGGGTATGTTGGAAAGTTCATTTTTCCATATACAATAGAGTAAATTGGATTACTAAATGTAATATTAAAACTCTCAAAGGTCCAATGTCAAGCTGATCTTACCACTGTATTAAATGAAAAAATGTAAAATAAATACTTGAAAATGCCTAGATTGATGCTTTATATTGTGTATTTTCCAGGGAGATGAAGCTTTCTGTATGTACTTTGTAGAGGAAGGTGAATGCAGAGTGACAGTTACACAGGGAGTAAGTAATTAAGTATACAATGTGATAAATATGCAATATGATGATACCCATACTCATTATTAACCAGGTTCACATCATTCATATCATGTAATACATATGAGGTTATTATATGGGAATGTATTCTTCATGTCATGTTTGAAGTATGATATATGAAACAGGCCCGTAGCCAGGGGGGGTTCGCAGGGTTCGGGCGAACCCCCCACCCCCCCCCCCCCCCCCCCCCCGGCCAAAAATTCTTTCAAAATCATGCAGTTTTTCACCATTTTGAGCACTTTTCAAGTAATTTTAGCCATATTTGGGCCAAAATTGTCAAATGTGAACCCCCCCCCCCCTGGAACTTTTTGAAAACTGAACCCCCCCTTGGCAAATCCTGGCTACGGGTCTGTGAAATGAACCAATGTTTAAATGCTTACTTATGAAAATGTCATACAAATAGAATGGTATTTGAGACCTGTATGACATGATGTATGTTTCAAACCTTTAAAGGGATATTGATCACAAGCCCATTTTTTTTTTTCTTGATATGGTAGCTCTAGGATGCAGAAATAGTTTCTTCATCCTAGGGTAGCTCTAGCCATTTTTTATACTATCCATATTTAGCAAAACATTGGGAAATGTTTTGATGGTCAAAATTGATCATTTAGAAATGCAGTGCTCATTTCCTATATTTTGCTAAATATTGAAAGTACAAAAATGGCCATGCTACCATTAGTCTACATATCAAGAGAGAAATTGGCTTGCAAGGAATATCCCTTTAATTGTAAAAAGTTCAAGTTTATATTACTCACTGCCCTCACTACCTTAAGTTTGAGTTTGTTTTTTGAAAGACAAATCCTCATCAGCTGAGTTATTTGTGGTTCCAGGAAGACACAGATGAGGTGGAAGTCACTCGGGTTCAAAAAGGTGGATATTTTGGAGGTATGTCAATGTTCACTACGTCTCTATTCTCTAGGGGTTCAATGGTTAACCAAAACTATGGAGCTTTAACCATCATGTCTTGACGGTTCATTGGCCGCGATGGTACATTATGGTCAGAAAAATTGTTTTGCTAGGCTTTTTAGCGTTTTAGGAGCCTTGGAAAAATACTGTTCGTAAATGCATGTTCGCTAAAATACTGACCTATGTTATCCTACATTTAAATACTGTCTAGACATGATATATCTTATCTGAATCCCATGTTGTTTTTCAAGTGTCCTAATCGAAATTATATAATATATCAGTGCAATAAAAATATGTTTTTACAACTCAGAGCCTTTGAATGTCTGAGTGTGCTAAAACTCGACTCAAAGTTCGATCGATTTTAAGTATTGTACATGGTACGAATATTTATTCCATGTAATCTATGAGGTAAAAATTAATATTATGAGGGACGAATGGAAGCATAAGAATCAACTTTTTAAATTGAGAATATCATATTACAAAACTATTTTCTTCTTTTCACAACCTTTATTTTAACTTCGCAGGACGTTTCGTATAAAATAAAGGTAGTAAAAAGGAGAAAATTGTTTTGTGATTTAATAATCCAGCCTGAAGAACATGTTTAAGAATATTATATTAGTTCGCAAATGTGTAGATTTCTATGTCACCACCAAAAGTGGTGACATATTGTTATGGTCTCTGTTTTTTTGTGACGGTGGTTGGTGGGCAGTGGTTGGCATCTGGCGTCTTTAACAAATTCTAAAAACTTCCAATAACTTAACAAATACTGTTTAGACTGACTTAAAATTTAAAATCATCTACTTCTTAGATTAGTTTAAATCTGATTTCAGATTTGACAAGGTCAAAAATGTATATTTTCAACTTGCTTTATATTGACCAATTTTTTTTCAAAATCATCTATAAGTTCAAATCTGACTTCAGATTTGACCTTCTCAAGGTCAAAATAAGGTCATAAAGATCTTTTTTCAACTTGCTTCAAATTGATCAATGTTTTTCAAAGGCACCTACAAATTCTCAGAATTTCAAATCTGACTTTAGATTTGAAATCTGTCCTTCAATGACTTTTACAAGGCCAAAAAAGGTCAAAAAGGTCTTTTTTCAACTTGCTTCAAAATTGACCAATTTTTTCAAAATCATCTACAAGACCTCAGAAATTCAAGTTTCATTTTAAGATTTAAGACTTGACCTTCTTATGGTAAAAAGGTATTTTTTCAACTTGCTTTAAATATTGATCAATTTTTTTCAGAATCATCTACAAGTTATCATAAGTTCAAATCTGACTAATATAAAACTCATAATATTGTGAGCAACTATGTGGTGGCATTTTATCATGTTAATGCCTTGTCTTAAACATATGATACTGATATAAAAAATTTTGTGGAAAATCTGCCTCATTCTGCCACAACTCATGAAATAAGGTAAAAAGAAAAATTGTATATTTGAGGTTCCAATATCTTGTCTTAAATAATTGCAAAATAATGGTAGAATACATTTGAATTTCTACCCCCTGTCGGGGCGATATTCAAACCTCTGTAAATTCGTTTGCTCTGTACACATAAGGTGTAATTAGTACAGGTACAATACATGTAGCTCCTTTTCATGCCATTTTGTTTTGTTTTCAGAGTTAGCATTGGTGACCCATAAACCAAGAGCAGCTAGTGTATATGCTGTAGGGGGTACTAAGCTAGCAGGTAAACTTAAGCACACCCATTTACTTTACATACCACATGCCTTTCACAGTTGGTGCATGACTCTGATATCATATGTTGGATGACACATGCCTTTCACAGTTGGTGGATGACTCTGATATCATATGTTGGATGACACTAGTCAACCTGCTCTCATTAATTGAAAAGCATTAGTAAACAGATTTAACCTTTACCATGCTGCCTTATTTCAGCAAATATATCCCACGCATCTGGCTTCTTTTTCAAAGAGTGCAAAAAATTGATATGCCTGGACTAAATAATTAATATCTCAATAGCTACCGAATGAATCTGGATAAAATTTTCACTAAAAGGGAAGATACAGTGGCCTGGCTCATGAAAAAAATGTTCTTATGAATATTTTTCGTACAATAACATGACTGGGCATAAATATACCATGAATACTCCTCCGAAATCCGCCGCTCCGCCCCTTCGTCTGGTCAGAATTCAAATCTGAATTTGCAGCGATCGAATGTTCAATTTTTCAATTCAGAAAATATTCTAGTTTCTATTTTCGATGACCATTATCGGCTTCCAAGAGCCTAAAGAGCTCGAAATCGTAGTCCATTTCCTCCACATTTTCGTTGTGATCGTATTTGTCCGCCATTTTGTACGATTTGTTCACTTAAAACGACTAAAACACTGTTTAAATTGTTGAATTGAGAATTATTTTTCGAAATATCGCCATTTTTAGGTCAACAGGAAGTCATGTTAGGCACTGAATAAATCGGGCAATCTAATTGGACAATACGAATGGCGCGAAAAAGTAAAGTTTTTAAAAGTTTGAAATTGGGCGTACGGGTCCGCCGGCAGTTGTGAGAGACATTTTAGTCTCGGCGGACGCGTTCGCCGGCAGCACGCTAAAGGTTAAGATATCACAAACCACATCGTTTGATTTAATTAATCATGTTGTTGCAATTATATATACACAACCAATCTGCAAAGGTACTGTACAGTGCATTAGCATGGATACTTATTTACTAGCTCTCATTTAAGGTGATTTTAATTAAAACAACAGGTTATGATATATGTCTAATCTGTCATTTTTTTTTTTTCAGTGTTAGATGTTGATGCTTTTGAAAGACTACTAGGACCATGTATGGATATAATGAAACGAAATGTATCTAATTATGAAGATCAATTAGTTGAGATTTTTGGATCTAAAACAAATCTCACTGATATGCGATGAGGCATTCCACCAAAAAAACAGTTTAGTTCAATGACAAGTGACAGTGGTCCAAAGATGGGCTTTACCAAATTAACTTTTCAATCAGATATATTTGAATTGGCTTCATCTTGATTTTAACATTAAGTTAAGATTATGTTTCCTGAGAAAAAAGTTGTTGTCTTCTCATAAGCAGCCTGGCCTGATTTGTAGAAGTCTATAGTATAAAGCAAACCAACATGACAAAGCAGAATAAGTATTACCACATGAATACATTTAAACAAAACTGATTTGATGATGAACGCTATAGTTCTCATTTTGCACAACTGATTTTGTGAGATTTTACTTCAATTCATATACTGTTGGTGAACTATTTTTTATCTGAATATGTATTTGTACATGTGAAATCTGGTCATTTTGTACATTAAGCTTTCTGTAAATTGATGTGGAAGAAGCACACTCAGCTATGGTTATTGTGTCAGAGTGTTATGTTATGGTCATTGTGAGTTATTATCTGCACAAAAGGCATTTTAAAACATATTGTACAATTCAGACTCATTGTGTACAGCTTCAAATTCATTGTGTAAATGCTGAGGTTATCTGTACAGTGTATGTAAAGTTATTATGTACAACATTTTTGTGTATAATGTTAAGCTCATTGTGTACAATACAATGGTCATACATAGCTATTTGTGTACAATTGTCATCATATTCAATCATTTATTGTCCAAATACTGAGCCCATTGTGTACAATAACTTTATTGAGCACTAAGTTCATGTATTTAGTAACCATTATAGGATCAGACCATTCATTTCATACCGACAAGTTGACAATATCCTACGCACTCACTCGCACGTGGACTACATTTGATTGCTTTAATGGCATAGAACAAGTATGAGGGTCATTCAAAAAATGCTGATAAAAATACTCCCAACTTCTTTGAATGCTTCAAGCAATTGTGGAAACATACCATTCTTGTATGGAAAGAGGGAATAAACATCTCAGACGGCAAATAAAGACTTATCAAAGACATATTTATAAATTATACCACCATTGTTATTTACCCCAGATAAAAGACATTGTTCTTCAGAAGTCAACTTAACTTTAATCAATTTTAAAAATAAATTATAAGTACAGTATGAAGAGGAACATTTTGACTTGTGAAGTTTTTTCAATATGCTTTATCTCAGATGTTTTATCAGTTCTTATCCAAAGTTTAAGGTGAACAACTACTTTATGAAATTCTTTTATTATTTGTGTCTTCCATTGTACAGTATTTGTCCTGTGCTTTTATGACTTGCTAAGTGTAATTAAATCTGATAATTCATGTGTATATTAATCACTGATTTTCCATCTTCCATTTTTTGTTTGTCTGCATTGTAATGTAGGGCCCTAGTGCATCTAAATGTCTTCCCATCCATTATTCCTCATGTTTTAATGATTTCTTAAATACTGATTAATTTTTTTGGCACACCAATTAAACTTTCCTGGCATATTAACAAAGGTATTCATGCATACCAATTAAGGTTTCTAGGCATAAGAATACCAATGAAGGTTTCCTGGTGTATCAATTGAGGTTTTTGGCATAAGAATATCAATAGAAGTTTTCTGGCGTACTGATTGAGGTTTTTAGGCGAGGCATAAGAATACTAATGAACGTATCCTGCCATACCAACGAGGCACAAAAAAGTGTAGATGATGACTTCACCTTTCTGCCATTACTGGTATCCCAGGAAGGTGGAATTATTATCTCCAATTTTTTCATTTTTTTGTCAGATGTAATATGTTCAATGAAAAAAATCGCACATGTACAGCAACACTGTACTTTACTGTAAAAACCTGTCACCAGTTTTTTAATTTTCTCATCATTTATTGGTCCAGATTTATTATAACTTCATTCCATGTTACATTGTATAATTATTTTGCATTGTGCTGTGTTATTATATTATACTGTATTACATTGCAATACATCTACATGTACTTTGTACTCCATTGTGTTGGACTGTATGACATTGCAATAAACATACTTTGTACTCCATTGTGTTGGACTGTATTACATTGCAATACATATACTTTGTACTTTGTGTTGGACTGTATTACATTGCAATACATGTACTTTGTACTCCATTGTGTTGGACTTCATTACATTGTAATACATAAACTTTGTACTTTATTGTGTTGGACTGTATTACATTGCAATACATGTACTTTGTAGTCCATTGTGTTGGACTGTATTACATTGCAATACACATATTTTGTACTTAATTGTGTTAGACTGTATTACATTGCAATACACAAACCTTGTACTCCGTTGTGTTGGACTGTATTACATTGCAATACACATACTTTGTACTCCATTGTGTTGGACTGTTTTACTAGCAATATGCATACTTTGTACTCCATTGTGTTGGACTGTATTACATTGCAATACACCTATATGTACTTTGTACTCTATTGTGTTGCACTGTATTACCTTTATATTGCATTGTATAAGTTGTAACATTGTTTAGTGAGAGAATGAACAAACAACAGATAAATACTTTATGATTTCAACAAAGTCAATGCAGATAATGTATATTAAGTTGTATAACATATCATCTGCATTTATATATTTATTTACAGTACTTTTTTATTGTTACTATTACTACTAGACAGTTTATAAATAGGTTATATATTATATATATGTATTATGTTATTGTATGAATTGCACTTAGCAGCAGACTTGTCTCTTATAATGCCAATTTCTTGTACTGTAAAAATCCCATAATGTACATTATAGTGTACATATATTGTATACAATTACAGTGCATCAAAGCAATATTGTATCTCGTTAAATATATTGTGGCATTAATGAAGTTGTATGAAGCTAATCAGCACTAGTTTACATTTGAATCTGAATGAAATGAAATATCTATCCTACTTTTTATGATCTCTGTAGAAACATGACAATCTTGTATCTTCTGTATCGCTGTTTTATTCCATGACAACATAAATGAGCTAAAAACTTCCCTGGTTATACCAATACTACATATATTACTGGAACATACTGTGGTAGTGCCAGCGCATACTGGTTGTACCATTATTATCTACAATACTGGCAGTACCACAATGTATTAGTTGTACCAATCTGCCAATACTAGCCTCTGCACTGGCTGTACCAATTTAGCTAAAATAACGATAGTATCAATATATACTAGTAATAGTACTGTAATTATAGTATCAGTACCTATGGTTTTACCAGTGCTTCAATACTTTACTTTCACTGAGCAAATGTCAAAAATGAGAAGCTTGTGCAATAGATTTCTTTTTGTATTAACTAGATTTCAACCTAATTGGTTTGTGTTTCTAAATGTTATATAAAGTCTGAAGCATTAGATATATTTAGAACTATGTGAGTATATGATTATGTAGCCTTGCCCAAGTCGGTATTTTTTTTACTTATCTGATCTTGAATTATAACCGCCTTGTACAATCCATTACATCTCCACCGTTATTACGCTGAAATATTCAACGGTTTCGAGATTTCCATAATACCTACCCTGTCAGGGGTATTGCGAAACCTTATTGATTGACAGATATCGCGTGGACACGACGTGTGACTTCAGGCTGAATGACCAATCAACACGTTATCAGGTTGAACTGCATAAACAAAACAGACTTCCCATCTACGATTTGAAATTCAATGATCTGATCTTACTCGAGTCTCTAGCTTACAGCTAGACGAAACTTCATTGATTTCGTATGTACTGTGCTACAAGCACCTACACGCACCTACACGCACCTAGAACTCATTTTTAATAAATTTTACAAATATTTTTAAGAATATTAATCATATTTAGGATGAAGCGTTGCTTGTCTGGATTTAGATATTTCAAAATTTCGTTTCGGAGTTTGACACATGGTGAAATTTTCTCGCTGTAGCTAAAAATGGCTTCCGGTTCTGGACGTGAATAACATTTGAAAATTATTCTCGCTTAAAGAAATCAAATATAACAATAGATTCAGACGGGGATGTGAGCTGATGTTCTTCAAATCTATACATAAAGGTATATTTCATATTATTATGCCATATTTACTGTGCGTGTGACACAATGATTTACAATATTTATAATACTAAGGCAGCTCAATCTTCCTCCTCAAAGCCGGAATATAGAGAAGGCTTTGGACCGAAATAAATCTGATCGAGTGTTTCTTTAGAGTTAGAATATATTATGTAATTAAATTTACATTGGAAGGTAAGAGTCATTAATATAAATTAAATCATGCGATTCAATGTTGATTTAAAACTGATTTCGCGATGAAAATGCACGAAGACCTATAGATGTGTAGCGGCTAGCGGGTCATGTTGTCTATCGGTGATTGAATCTCAGCCTACTAATGTTAAGCGATCGTTTCAACGTTTATTGTTGAAATCTTCTCACCTTTCGTTATCCGATCGATGCTCCGGCATCCACTAAACTCTCATTGATATTTATCTGATAAAATATTTGTATTTTCATGATGAATTCGTGCAAAATTTTACCCTGCGCGCAGAGTCTAGTTAAACTACACTCTGCCTAGTAGAGACTATATTTCAGTTTAGTAGCCCCGCCCCCACGACGGGTACCGGTGACAGTTTGGGTATAAATTACTTTTGACCTAGACGCACTGACCTTTCTTCCACCAATCAGCGAGCTTGAAGAAACATACGCCAAATGCGTTCTAATAAAATATGCGCATGTCATTGGTCAATTCCGGGCTCAGCGATGACGTCAGAAGGAATGACCATATATAGAACGTCGGTCAAATTTTGCCGACGAACACTGATTGGCGCGGTGAGTTCACAGGTTTATTTTAGTTTGAAAGAGTGAAGACGAAGCTCTCTTTTAAGAAGTGAAGTCAAACGAATGCAAAGGGTAGCAAAATTTGTTCGTGAAAAGTCCCGGTGAAAAGTGTACTTGTTTAGCTATTGCTGCAGGGCCGTCGTTGATTGGTTAAATTTTACCGACATAAACATTGAGTCGGTTTAGCACGTGGCTTTCTCATTTGTACAAGGCGGTCATAATAGAAATCAGGATAAGTAAAAGAGACCGACTTGGGCAAGGCTAATGATTATGAAATGATAAAACAGAAGCCTAATTTAATGTAAGGCTGGCAAGCAGCCAATTGTAGCAAGTGCAAACATAGAAATAAACCAACCCCAGTGTATTATTAGAGGAATTCTAATTCAAAACCACTCTCAGATATAGATTCATTGTAAATCCATAAATATTCTGTGTAAAAGTACAAGTATATCCAACTTCAGGATACTGTTTTACTGAGCACAGTGATTGAACCACTTGTAAATCAGGGGATTACCTCATTGGGAGAAGTATATGTGGCAAAACAAACATCGCACATGCTTTAACTTTCATTTTTGTAATGGATTTTGAAGAATTTCATTTTTAGTTAATAGCCATATTATGTGAAGTGAATGACCAACTGTTTCACTGTTATAGCCATGTTGGATATTATATTAAACATAATTAATAAAACTCACTATGATTAATCTCTGTTTGTTCATGTAGCCTGAGTTGGGAGGAATTTAATCAAGCCTCAAGCCAGTATACCATTCATTTTTTAGATGGTTGTTCTGATTGTGTACATCTTTCCTCATGTTCTTCTGAATCTAATGCTCACTTTCGTGTGCATGGATGATCTATTTTTTATGATTACCTGACTATTTTATTTCAAATAAAAATTCACACATAGCTGCAAGGTGTTGATTCCAGCCAATCTAAACAAGTATTTCATACAACTGCACTGCATTATATTACCAATAGCACACACAAGGTCATTTATTGAATGGATGTCAAGGTGACAACTTGACAGATTGAAATTAATGCTTTGCCAACTTCACCCTTGCAAAAAATTACTGAAAATATGCTCTTTTAGCAGTTTCGTGATTTCATATCTTTTAGGTGATTTTGTAGAAAATATTTGCAATGTGTGAAAATTTAAGCCCAACACTTGATGCATTCGGGGATGCATTGTGCTGATTATATTAAACACTGTGTTCTGATTGGCTGTAATAGGACACACATTGTATTGCTATGTGTGAATTAAAAATATTTCTGAGAATAGTTCATCAATTGAAAACAAACCCTGTCCTATGTGAGATTTATTTTATCATTTCCTCCAATATTGAAATCAACGTGTCTGCCATATTTAAAATTAAAATGCAGAATTTCGCCACCTTTCATTTGTTCTATTCTAGACTCCGAACGCCGGACCGCCGTCTCGAAAAGTTGGAGACCATAACAATACGAGTATGTCGTAGTGACATAAAAATTGTTGCATTAGTTCGTCCTGGCTTCTTACAAATGAGCTT